AATAAACAAATTAATTCACCCACATACACACACAAAAAAAACCGGGGGGCGGGGGGAGAAGATATAACAACTATACTTTTTTGAAGTTGTTACAACAAGCAAACGGAAAGGACATTCTTCGGGGGGAGGGGAGAGAGGGAGGAGGGATGGAGGTGTCGGTGATGGGCCATAATAATCATATATTGTATATTGACAAAATAAAAATTTAACGAAAAAAAAAAAAGAAAAAATTACTAAAAAAAAAAGAAAAAATCATATTAACTTAAGAGAGAGTTTTGTAATAATGGTCATACAAATTTACCTACAAGAGAGTAGGAAAAAAGTAAGATGCACAGTACTTTAGAAAATAAATTTAACAAAATATAAAGAAGTGGCATTTAATGTCCAAAATTCTGAGGTAAACCTTCCAGTCAAGATGGTGGAATAGATGTTCCCCAGTGTCACTCTCTCCCACAAATCAACCAATTTACAACCATTAAAAATCAATGACAGCCAAGCTGGGATTGCTATAACTCAGGGGAAGGCGAGGAGAGAACTACAGAGTTCACAAAGGCAGGAGAAGCCATGATGAGAGAAAGAATCGTCCCCACCATTTCAAGCCCCAGATGTTTTAAGGCTGGAGTTGGTGCACGCACAGAGCAAGAGATGTCAAAAGCCACAGCTGTGCCCTTTGTATGACGTTGCTTGGCAGTGGCAGGGGAGAAGAGGGACTTGTTCACCCCCAAGCCAGGAAGACCAATAAAAGTTTCTGTGGACCCACATAAGCATGAGAAGCCAAATACAACAGAATAAAGGAACCACTTAAAAGCCAGTAAGTCATGACAAGGGACCAGTGCATGGCCTGTCCTATGGGAAGTGTTTGGAATGGGGGCAGTTGGGGAGATGGGCCCACCAGGGGAATATTACTGCACAGCATAGACAGCTGATCTGCCCTCCAATCATCACAGGATCATTCAATGTAGAATGGTCAGGAATATAGAATTGCTGGGGTTGTAGTTTGTTGAAAAGACTCAGGCTCAGACCAGAATTTCCATACAACCTGGGTGGCACCAGATCTCACAAGACCTGGAAGTATATACAAGGTCAAGCATTAAAACATGTGCTGCACAAAATGCCTTCTGCAGGGAATCAGGAGCAAAGCAGCAATTTAGCTAAACCACAGGGCTCCATTGCTGGTTCCCACATGAAGTTCCTCCATTTTAGAAGTAAGCAGAGGACCACGAATTAATTCTAGAGCAGAATTTAAGTGGTGGGAACAGCAATAATCCCACACAATAAAGAGAAAACAAAATACCCACAGATCAGAGACAAAGCTTGATCTTAACTAGTAAAGGTCTAACACTACCAAAGAACACTGGTAAAACCTAGAATGACCAGAGCCCTTGAGTTCCCAAGCCAGAGAGGTGGGAAGGCTGAGGGCCTCAGCCATGCCCACCCAATATCCACAACCCAACCAGCCCAGTGATGGCCAGTAAGCCTCCACAGGAAGCACCCTGGGCTTGAGCCAGGGCAGAGGGGCCAAGGACCTCAGCCACACACCCCCAATACCTACATCCAGCCCAGGGATGACCAAGAAGCCACTGCAGGAAGTGCCCTTGGCTTCTGAGCTGAGGCTGTGGGAGAATCAAACAGCCACCCCCACAAACTCTGCAATGAGCCAGTGATGACCACTGTGCCACTGTAGGAAGCACGCTGGGCTACGGAGCCAGGGCTGTGGGGGGGCCAAGGGCCCCAGGCATGACCCCCCAAAATCCACAACCAGCCCAGTGATGACCACTGGATAGAAAGCATTTCTTACATAAAGTATTAATAGAGGATTTGGGGACAGAGTTGGAAAGAACTATGGTTTCTTCAATCCAGTCTGTCTTAAATTATGGTGGATATCTCCCACCTATGGCCCAATTCCACCATAGTCATCTACCCTTCAGTCCCAGAGAAAATTAGAAATCAGAGACACATGCATGAACATTTTTTTTTTATTGCCTGGCCTGGAAAAAGCCTGGAAGTAACACTTATCACCTGTCTCCATACTCTCCTGAACAGTGCTAAATTACATGGTTCCACACACAATAATTAAAGGCTGGGATTGCAGACATCTGTACAAGAGAAAAAAGGTGTTTTGAAGAAAATACATAGCCAGTCAAATCCATACAGAATTTCCCCCCTGAGTAAATGATCTCATGGCTGCTGCAGTGTGAGTTATTTTTGCTTTACTTTTCTTTTTCGTTTTTTCAGTGGCTGGTCAGTACAGTGAACCATGGTGTTATCAGCACCATGCTCTAACCAAGAATATACTAACTAAACCCAGTACTGTAACTGTTGAAAAGTGTTTTCACAACTACTGACCTTCTGTTGCACATCTGGTGATTCAACCAAACAAAAATTTTTAAAAATCAAAAGAAAAAAGTATAATACACATAAAAAAACAACATAGTATTGTGACTATTTACAACAAATTCCTACTATATTCAGTAATACAGAAAATCTACTCAAGATGTAAAAAACACAGAAATGCATGGGTAAAAGTGAAAAAGTACACCATCTATAGAAGTGGCTTCATCATTTGCAAGTGTTTTCTTCAACAGGGGTCCCTAAAACTGACCACCATTACCAAGGGACAGTTGTACATCTATAGGCCTTCTTCTTGCTGTAAGTTCTCTGATGAAACATGAGGCGTGAAAAAACCTTATAGCAAAACCTTTCCCCACAGCCATTACACTGTGATACTCCCATGTGTGAACTCGTTCATGTCTTCCAGTAAAATGTTTTCCTGCATCCCTTACATTCACATGGTTTCTAATCTATGCAAATTCTCTGATGCCTGCTGACATGTGACTTTTGGTTAAAAGTTTTTCCACATTCTCTACATTCTTATGGTTTCTCACCTGTGTGAGGTCTCATGCTTGTTGAGGTCTGACTTGTAGTTAAAAGCTTTTCCACAGTTTTTACATTCATGTGGTTTCTCACCTGTGTGAGTTCTCTCATGCTTGCTGAGGTATGACTTCTGGTTAAAAGCTTTTCCACAGTTTTTACATTCATATGGTTTCTCATCTGTGTGAATTCTCTCATGTCTGCTGAGGTGTGACTTTTGGTTAAAAGCTTTTCCACAGTGTTTACATTCATATGGTTTCACACCTGTGTGAGTTCTCTGATGAATGATGAGTAGTGGCTTTTGGATAAAAGCTTTTCCACATTCTTTACATTCATATGGTTTCTCACCTGTGTGTGTTCTCTGATGAATGCTGAGCTGTGGCTTTTGGAGAAAAGCTTTTCCACATTCTTTACATTCATATGGTTTCTCACCTGTGTGTGTTCTCTGATGAATGCTGAGCTGTGGCTTTTGGAGAAAAGCTTTTCCACATTCTTTACATTCATATGGTTTCTCACCTGTGTGTGTTCTCTGATGAATGCTGAGCTGTGGCTTTTGGAGAAAAGCTTTTCCACATTCTTTACATTCATATGGTTTCTCACCTGTGTGTGTTCTCTGATGAATGCTGAGCTGTGGCTTTTGGAGAAAAGCTTTTCCACATTCTTTACATTCATATGGTTTCTCACCTGTGTGAGTTCTCTCATGCTTAATGAGGTCTGACTTGTGGCTAAAAGCTTTTCCACAGTCTTTACATTCATATGGTTTCTCATCTGTGTGGGTTCTCTGGTGAATGCTGAGGTGTGACTTTCGGTTAAAAGCTTTTCCACATTCATTACATTCATATGGTTTCTCACCTGTGTGAATTATCTGATGCCGGCTGAGGTGTGACTTTCGGTTAAAAGCTTTCCCACAGTCTTTACATTCATATGGCTTCTCACCTGTGTGAATTCTTTGACATACAGTGAGGACAGACTCATAGTAGAAAAATTTTTGACATTCATTATCTCCATATGGTATTTCATCTTTGTGAATTTTGTCACAATGGCTGAGGAGTAAATTCTCACAAAAGCTTTTTCCACAGTTAATACACCCATAGTACTTTTCTCCTGTGTGAATTCTCTGATGCATTGTAAGGTGTGACTTCTGACATAAAATTTTATGTTCATTACCAGCATAAAGCTTCTCTTGTGTAGGTGTTCTCTGATATGATGTAAGGTATAATTTCTCAATAAAAGATTTCTCACATCCAGTATATATATATAGTTTCTCTCCTGTGTGCATAATCTGATGTTTAGTGGGGTCAGATATTTTATAGAACATTTTCCCACATATATCACATTGAAAAGTTTTCCTTTCTACCCGAGCTATTTCTTGGTCAATAACAGCTGAGTTAACACAGCCTTTCCCATATTCCTTATACTTATAGGTGTTATCATCAATATGAATCTTTTTATGAGTAAATATTATTGGCTCTGTGTTGGAGGATTTCCTTTTTCCAATATATTCTAAAGGCTGCTTCCTAGTTTGAATATTGGGATGCTGACTAAGGTCCTCATGAAGTCTGGGCAATTTTCCAGTTATATCATGGTCACCAGGCTTCTCTCCAGCAGGCGTCTCATGAGGCTCCCTAGCTAGCAGTGCATTCTGACCTATGAACAACTCCTCATGTCCCTTTCCTGTATTATTCCCATTATTTATAATCAGATTTAAAACATGATATGAATTCAAATAAAATGATTTTCCTAACACAACTCTCTCCTCAGCTGATGTGTTCCTGCGGGTGATTACAATTTGCTGCAAGCATCTACCATGACTTTCTTGGTTTCTCTCCACTAGGTCATCATCTATCTGGATATCTGAAATGAGAAAAAAACTATCTATGAGCCACACATAAGCATATGTCATTGATTGCTCAAGTAAATGTACAGAAGTGGACTCCAATCCTAGTAACAATAGATTAAAAAATCAAGAATGGACATAGGTTTCATGAATTTATGGAATGAATTTCTTCTGACAATTTAACATTCTACTAATATATTTCCTCATGTCATACCATGTTTTTCTTTCCTTCTTTGTTCATTTTTATGTTTTAATTCATGAGTAAATATTTGCTAATTTTTACCCTCTGCCTACTTGTAGTTCTCATCTAAGCACCTTTCATTTCTTTACAACATTCTTTTTTATTTTTATAAGAGTAGGTGTCTCCTGCTGCTATTTTTCTCATTATTTCAACTATGAAGGTGGCTAGGTTTTCCTTCATCAGGTACTTTCAGGTACAGGAATGAGCCAATTTTTCATCACACATGCAGGAATATGGCTGAGGATAAGCATTTTGCATCTATGCTTTACGCTCCTCCATTAGAAAATGGCTATGGGAATGTGGAAGTTTTTCAAATAATAAAACATCCTTTTCTCCACCCTAGATAAAGATAGCTTCCTCCAAGTTTCTCATTTAACCTGATTTCCTCTGCTTCTCATAAACTATTACAATAAAGGAAACTTCAGTTCTCTACCATAGACACTCACTTCTGTTCTATAATATTTGGTTCTTCATCCAAAGCTGCTCCCACTATCTTTGAAAAATGTTCTTTCTACTCCTCAAATCAACTTGTATTCTATTCCCAATTTCTGCTACATGGACCACCATTTGATAATTAATTTCTTGTGAAAGCTTTCTTTTGCAGGCAAGTTTTGGTGGTCTTCTATTCTCATAAAAATAGAGTCTCCTGTACATTTCTCATTTTTGGGAATAATTTCCACAAAGAAAACAGAAAAATGCTAACTTTGAACTCCATTCCCAAATAACAATCTCATCCTCTCAACCCAATACCCTTAGTTCACTTGGCCTTGACATCCAGAATCTCCTGGTTTTCCCCCAAAGTTAGGACCACCCCGTTCCATTTTCCCATTCAAGGTTCCCCTCAGATTCATGATTTTTGATGTGGTGGCACAAGGCTCACTGCTATAACACTTTTCCAATTTTCTTATAGACTTGCTATCTGATATACTGCCCTACTTTGTGACTATGTCAAGAGTCCCCACCAGAACAAAGATCCTTACCAGATGGAACCCTGTGAACTTAGAATGCTGAGCCTCCAGAACAGACTTGTAAGAAAAATATTTTTTTAAATTAATTACCCAGTTGCAGGTATTCTGTTACAAGCAACAGAAAACAGATACAGTATGAAAAAATGTACATGACAATTGTGGACAGAAGTTCAACTGAAAATGGTAAAAAAGCAAATAGGAAAAATAAAGTTAAAGCAGACGAAGGTACAAATTAGATTTTGGGTACATATAAAACATATTCAGAAAATTAAAATATTGGTATGTACATGGGACACCTCACCTTGGAGATTATGTAATATAGGATTTCAGATGAGCCAAACTCAACTCTGGAACTTGGGGAAAAAATTGCTAGAAACAGCTGAATACTGCCAGGCTTTACTTTTCTTGGCTTCTGCCCAGTATGTGCTGACTAACCTTGCAGGATCTGGTTTGGGCATTCTTCCATTGTCCATGGCTCTGCTCCTTGTTCTAACTTGACAATCACCTCACTTATGTTAATGTAGTGTTCTGTTAATGGGAATGTAGGACTCTGTCAAACTGCTACATCTGATCCTTGGAAGAACAGCAAGAGGTCAGCTTTGGAAGCTGTGCAATAAAGAGAACAATTTGAACCTCATAATAAAGAGAGATGGCACATTTTCAAGTAATGGAATCTTACCAAAATAGCATGAAAGCCTATAAGTGGTTCCTATATTTATGAACAAAAAAAGAAACTGTTTCATGTGAAAGTTACTGGGGAGTTTTACTCACTCAGTGACACCAGGTTGCTGTAGGTCTCCAGCATGACATCCCTGTACAAAGTCCTCTGAGCATCATTCAGGTCCTGCCACTCCTCCCAGGTGAAGTCCACAGCCACATCCTCAAATGACACCAACTCCTGTAACGACACATTGTTCTCAACTCATCAACATCCCTAGGTCACAAAACAGAAATCTGGGCATTCACACCTCTGTGTGTACATGTGTCATATCAGTATTATATAAGATGTCACTGTTTTGGACTCCATAGAATGGGAGGAAGAGAAATCAAAGGACAAATATCCTGCCATTGTAAAACGTTATTACTAAAAATAATATTACAAAACTGAGTTTATACCTTAAGAAATATCCTTGTTGCTAGTAATAAAAGTGTGAATGAAATTTTTCTTTTCCAAGGAGGCTATAAACATAAGTATAAACACATACCTGAAATACTCTGTTAGATGAACAATTTTGAACACAATATAGACTGGGATAAGAAAGAAATAGAAACTATAGTTTTATTTTGTATTCAGTTTGCACTTAACAGAAATGCCAAAGAAGTTAATCTCTCCCATGTGAAGCACATGGTCTCATGAGGCAACAGCAAAAGACCAGTCACAAAAACACAAAGAACACACCCACATTAAGTAAATAGCACATGTCTGAGTGAATGATAAAACACAGTACTGAGCAACAGTTTATAGAATGATTCTGCACTTAAACATGTGATATACTTCAAACAGTAAAACATTTTACGTAGTTGTTGTTTCTGAATAATTTATGAACTAAATGTACGTTAAAAAGGCATTTTAAATTTTCCTATGTGCCAAAGGATTGCTTGTGTCCACATTAGGATGTGCATTGCAACTTTCTTAATCACAGGAAGCAAATAATGTGGTACTGAAAGTAGATAACTTTATTTGTATTTTAACAGTCATCCACTACAAGGAGAATGGAAAGGCTTTTAGGGAGAGTTGAAGGGGAAGAAAACGGTGAAAGAACATGAACTACTTTGCAACACAGAGAAATAGGCACACATAATAAGACTTATTAACACTATAAAAAAAAAGGGAAAGAAAAAGCAGAAACAGAATGCAGTAGTAATTTGCTGTGCAGAAAGTAATACAAAGAGTTTTACTCTCAGGCTAACTACATAATCACAGCTAGTTAGGTCCTGGCACTATAAAGTAAAGTTTGAAAAATGGGAGAAAAATATAGTGGGCAAAAGTGAAACAGACTTGACAAAATAATACTTGAAATATCTGTGGACATGTCCAAGTGGCAATTGGATATATGATTCCAGTACTCAAGAGAGAAAATTAAACTGATGGCAAAGATTTCAAAAGTATCAAAATTTCCATGTAATCTGAACACATGAGAGTGAAGGAACAAAAGAGGTTGAAAGTAAAAGAAAAAAAAAAAAGAACAAATACAGAATCTGCAGAAACACTTTATCTTTAAACATAAGATAAAGAAGAAAAAGTAGCATTACATCATAATACAGGAGTTAGTTCTCCCAGAGGACAATTCTTAATATGTATCTACCTCACAACAGATCATCAAACTACGTGACATCAAACCTAATAGAACTTCAATGAAAAATAGAAGAATCCACCATCAAACCAGAGATTTCAACACCCTCTACCAAGAATGAACCAATACAACAGACAGAAAACCACAAAAGACATAGTTAAACTCATAACATGATCTGGATAGAACGGATATCTACAGGCTACTTCTTCCAACAATGACAGAACACGTTCTTCTCAAACTCACATAAAAATCACATATTGAGAGCATTAAAACACACTTTAGCAAAATTAAAATAATAGAAATCATACAACATGTGCTTGCAGACCACAAAGTAATTAAACTAGAAATCACTAACAAAGCAAAACTAATACATGGGTTAAAAAAAAAAAAACTTAAGAAAAATTAAAAATATTTTTAAGTAAATAAAAGTGAAAATGATGCTGACCAGTTAGCTCACTTGGTTAGAGCACAGCCTTGTAACAGCACGGTCAAGGATTTCAATTCCTGTAAAGGCCAGCCACCAGGAAAAAAAAAGTGAAAATGTCTCTTACCAAAATTTGTAGTATACAGAAATAACAGTGCTCTCAAAAAATTTTATGGCACTGAATGCATACATTAAAATAAAAAACACACCCAAAATCAATAATCAAAGTTTCCACCTTTGGAAACTAGGGGGGGGGAAAGAGCTAATTAAATTGAAAGGAAGCAGGAAAAAAAAAAAAAAAACAGAAATAAAATTGAAAAAGAAAATGTGGAGAAAAAATAAACATCTAAAAAGCAGATTCTTTAAAAAGATCAATACAATTGATAAGCCTATAGCCAGGCTAACTAAAAAGATAATGAATGCAAGAAAGAAATTACTAATACCAGAAATGAAAGACAGGATATCACTACAGATCCTCCGGATATTAAACAAATAACAAATGGTATGAAGAACTCTGTTCACACATTTGACAACCTACATGAAATGGACCAATTCCTTAAAAGACAGTTTACCAAAACTCACACAAAAATACACAATGTGAATAAGCATATATCTACTATGAAAATTGAGTAAACAAATAACATTCAAAACAGAAAGCACCTGGTCTGGAAGTGTTCACAGGGGAATTCAAGCCAACATTTAAGGAAAAAAATATAGCAACTTCCTACAACATATTGCAGAGAATAGAAGATGAAGTACTTCCCAACTCACCATATGAGGACAGCATAATCTCAGCACCAAAACCAGACAAAGATATTATGAGAAGAGAAAGCTACAAACTGTTAACTCTCATGAACATACATGTAAATAAGCTCTGTAAAAATTAACAAACCTAATCCAACAATCTCTAAAGAGAATTATGCACCATGTAGTACTTATCCAGGTAGTCAAGGGTGGTTCAATATATGAACATCAATTAATGTAATCAATAACATGAAAACACTAAAACAGAAAAAACAACAACAAAAAAACATGATCACATCAATAAATGCAGAAAAAGCATTTGAAAAAATACTGCATCTACTCATAATAAAAATTCTCAGCAAACTAGGAATAGAGGGGAACATCACAACTTGATAAAGATTATCTACAGGAAATGGCAGCTAATATCATCCTTAATGGTGAGAAAGTCAAAGCTTTCCCAGATAATCAGGAACAAAGCAAGAATGAACTCTCTCATCACTCCTCCAACACTGCACTAAAAGTACTGGGTCGTGCGATAACACAAGGACATAAAATAAAAGATTTACAAATTGAGAAATAAATAAAATTGTCTTTAGTTGCACATGATATGAAAAATATCCTAGCAAGCAAATGGAAAGCCTCCTGGAATTAAAAACTGATTAGGACAAGATTGCAGAATATAACATTACTATACAGAAGTTAATCTCTTTTCTACATCCTAGCAATGACCAAGTAAAATTTAAAACAAATAACAATACTATTTACATTAGCAACTCAAAAAACAGAAAACAAAATAGAAAATCATCTATCTCATAAAAAATTTACAGGATACATTTAAAAAACACCTATGACTGATCAACAAAATGAATAAACTGATTAAAAAATAAGAGGATTTCCACAGACATTTCTTTTTTTTTTTGTCTTTTTTTGTCTTTTTCCGTGTCCGGCAACGGGATCGCAACCCTCGGTGTTGCTCCCGCGCCTCGCTCAGCCAGTGAGCGGGAACCGGTCTGTATGTGGGATCCAAACCCTCGGGCAGGAGCGCCACCGCGCTTCCCAAGTGGCGCACTATCCAGTGCGCCACCGGGCCGGCCCCCCACAGACATTTCTTAAAAATTGATATACCTCGCTCAGTCAGTGAGCGGGAACCGGTCTGTATGTGGGATCCGAACCCTCGGGCAGGAGCGCCACCGCGCTTCCCAAGTGGCGCACTATCCAGTGCGCCACCGGGCCGGCCCCCCACAGACATTTCTTAAAAATTGATATACCAGTGTCTAACAAGCTCATGGAAGAAATGCAAAACCACAATGAAATATGTCACACCCAACAGAAAATAAGAATAATTGGAAAATTGGAAACTTAGTACACTTTATGTGAGAATGTAAAATGCTGCAGCCAGTATTAAAAAAAATACAGTACAGTGGCTTCTCAAAAAATTAAAAAGAGAATTACCATAGGATTTATAAATCCAAGTCTTATGTATATATCCAAAATAATACCAGAATCTCAAAATGATATTTGCACACCTGTGTTCATAGCAGCATTACTCACAGACTTAAGAGATGAAAGCAACCCAAATGTTCATCCATGAATGAATGGATAAATAAAATGTATATAAATAAAAAATAATAATATCTATCTTAAGAAAGGAAATCTTGATATATGCTATAACATGGAACCTTGAGAACATTATGCAAAGTGAAATAAGACACTCCAAAAATGACAAGTATTGTATGGTCCCACTGATAAGGATCAAAGTTTTAGAAACACAAAGTATAATGGTGGTTGCTAGAGGCTGGGAGATGGGGGAAATTGGTAACTGTAATTTAATAGATATAAAGTTTCAGTTTTCCGAGAAAAAAAAGTTGTGAATATATCCTGCACAACAGCGTCAATATACTTAACACTACGTAAAGGTTAAGAAATGATTCAAATGGTAAATTTTAGACTATATGTGTTTTACAAAAATTAAAAATAAATTATTTTAAGTCAATAGATGAACCAAATTAAAAAGTTTTTAAAAAATTAATTAATTGATAAAAAGTTAGAAAATAAAAAGCAGAGGATTAAAAGGCAGGTGAGGGAAATACAAATAGAAAACTGCAAAATGGCACACTTAAATTAAACCTTATCAATAACTAGTTTAAATGGAGTTGCATTAAATATTCTACTTAAGGCAAAGACTGTCAGATTTGATACAAAAGTAAGACCCAACAATATATTGTCCAGAGAACTACACTTTAAATACAAAGAAGCAGACTAAATGTAAAATAATGAAAAACATATCTACCATAGCAACATAAATTATGAAAAGCTTAAGTGGAAACACTGATACTGGCAAAAGAATCTTCAAGACAAATTTTATTACTAGTAATAAATGGAACACTGAAGGATGTGGGCCACACTATCACCTCCCATATCATCGAAAATGGAAAGGATGTCTCCCCATCTCGGGATCTGCCAAAGGACTTTTGGGCACCATGGGAAAAGTGCTACCTGGCCTCCTCTCTCTGTCAGAGAAAATAAAAGAAAGACATTCAATTTTCAAAGAGAATTTAGAGAAAATATGAAAGAGCCAGGACTTGCTGAGTTTGAAGTAAAACTATTTTTCAATCCATTTTTCCCAGAAAATTATTTTTAAACTGTTAAACTGTTTTGTGGCAAGGATCAAATCCATTGTTTCCCAAAGATAAAAGATGAAAAATATTTCTAGTTTTCTAAGCACCTTAGGGTCTGACACATAGATAGTACCTAATAAACAATAAAACTTCTAAGGAAATAGCCACCTTAGAGAGGAGAGAGGTCAGAGAACAGAGGGCCTGACTCAGAATGTGTGGGGGTAGCACTGGTCTAATGGATTTTAGAACAATGGAAATCCATGTTTTTATGGCAGTGATTACACCAGGTAATTTCCTATATCAAAAGGCCAGAGTCAGAAAAAAAAGGTCATTGGATCCCCCAACATATAATAAATTTTCAATCCATTTTTCCCAGAAAATTATTTTTAAACTGTTAAACTGTTTTGTGGCAAGGATCAAATCCATTGTTTCCCAAAGATAAAAGATGAAAAATATTTCTAGTTTTCTAAGCACCTTAGGGTCTGACACATAGATAGTACCTAATAAACAATAAAACTTCTAAGGAAATAGCCACCTTAGAGAGGAGAGAGGTCAGAGAACAGAGGGCCTGACTCAGAATGTGTGGGGGTAGCACTGGTCTAATGGATTTTAGAACAATGGAAATCCATGTTTTTATGGCAGTGATTACACCAGGTAATTTCCTATATCAAAAGGCCAGAGTCAGAAAAAAAAGGTCATTGGATCCCCCAACATATAATAAACAAAAATAGGTAAAGAAAGTCAGTCAACTGCAAACCCAGGCATTTAAGGAAAAGAGATATTGACAGAGAATGGTGAGAGTCCAGAGGACACACTGAAGAGGCACAGAGCTTCTTTTCCAGGGACGAGGACTGGAACCTAATGAAATACTAAACCAGGTGCCTGATGGTAGCTTATTTAGTTTGGCTTTTTGCCAACTGCACAATGGTAGAATATTTCTAGGACTCTTGAGAGGGGGAAAGTATATTTCGCACATGGTAGAAATTTATGGTCAGAGAGCAACTTGTGGTATGTTAAAGACTGCTGCAAAGTCTTGCTATTCCTCTCATTGTGAGGTGAAACCTAATTGCCTTCCCCTTGAATCAAGGCTGCTCTTAGTGATGTGCTTGACTAAGAGAATGTGGTGGAAGAGATGCTTTAGTATCTGAGTAGAAATAAGAATCCTTGCAGTTTCTGCCTGGGCCTCTTGCATACTTGCTCTGGCAGAAGCCAGACAAACCTGACTACCCTGAAACTGCCACTGTGTGAGGAAGTCCAACACAGCCATAAAGAGACAGCTGGATTTCTGCTCAATGTTTCCAGCCACTAGAGTTTTTCCAGCTTAGAGCAGACATCCTGCAGCAGACAACCCACCTCACACTGTCCAGTTTACAGACCCAAAACATTGGGATATGTAATAAGATGTTCTTATTTTAAGCCATGAAGTTTTCCAATACTTTGTTGTACAGCATATCACAGGAACAGCAAAAAAATTATTAGAGACCTTAGGTAGCACTTTGGGTTGAAACATGAAGAATGTAGGTTCACACTGAATGTCAGATTCAAAACAAAGAAAGAAAGCATTTCATATCTTATGTGAGATCTCAAATTACAATTTTGAATGTAAATGTTCAATTAACTCCTTTGCCAATTTTTGTTCTTAACTAGCTGTTAGTTAAATTTCTACTTTAAAAACATTCTGACGACTAATGCACATGTCCATTTTTCTCATTCATTTTTAATTAAGTACCTGAGATAGGAGAAGAATAAAATACAATTTGTAAGAAAGTTTAAAAGCATGATGGGTCTTATTGAACTACAAGCAGATAACTGTATATTGATAAAAACTACAAACAGAATCACTGATCTAAATTAATAGAAGCAAAAGGTAGACACTATAAAAATTCGTACTTTCTGTTTTTATTATTTTCATGTCTTTTTATTTTATTGACCATTGTTCAAATATGTCCCGGTAACTCTTGAAGGCTTTTTCCCCATAGACTCCTAAGGATGTCACCACAGGTGCTGGCTAGAAGCATAGGTCACCAGGAATTGAACCTCATACCCCTGCAAACACTACCTTCAGGTTTTTACAAGAATGATATTTCCAATGGAACAAAATTACTGTCTTTATGAGTACCAACATCTCCTGCTATACTAGCAGTGTATATACAAATTAGAATAAAATGAAAAGACCAGACAAACAAAAGCAGCAGGAAGTAACACAAACTAAAATTAGACCAAAGAAACATGTAGGAGTCCAGGAGAAATTTCATTTTGTTGGCTTGTGCCACTGGCTGGGTGGCAGTGATAATACATATAAGAGAAGAGAGGGAAGTGGTTTTAATTTTAGATTTGTTGACCTTGCGGTGAAATTTTGTATTTTTTCTTCCTGTCAGGTGGCTGGTGCTGAGTCCCAAACTATTGACCTTGGTGTTATAACACCATGATCTAAACAACTGAGCTAACAATCCAGCCCCTTGAGTTGCCTTTTGAATAGCTACAAACAAGCATTCAACAAGGCTCAACCTGTGACCAAAAGACTAGGGAAGAAGTACACCCTGGAGAGAAAAAAGAGTGCAAACTACAGAGGACTGAATCAGTGAAAAAGAATTTCACATGAGAAGAACAGGGCCCAGGATGAAGCACTTTGATAAGCTACGTTATAAACAGGAAGGTAGAGGAATTTGGGAGAAAAGAGTGAAAACCATCAGTGAAGTTATGAGAGAAACTAATAAACTAACATAGAAGAATTTGCAGGAGAATATCATGAAAAGTAGTTCAAAATGTAGCAGAAGACTCAAGTTAGAAAAAGACTAGAGAACACTCATTGGATTTGACTATCATTTAGGTTATAATTCTAGGTTTTCTCCATGAATCTACTACAGTCTTGCAAAGCCACCTGGAACTAGATTTATTTGAGAAGCTTTATAAAAAGCTTACTAAGCAATTTGTGCCTTAGAACTAAGTAACTATTTCCACTGCAGAAAGCGAGAAATGTCTATTTTGAGGTCAGCAGTGAAAAACATTGTAATCATGACAGTGGTACACAATTTGGTGCTACCAAGTCTTCACATCCCATGAGAACTTGGCAGATTCTCGTCTCACCTCAATTCCAATCATGTAAACAAGCTGTCTGCCTTTTTTTCCATGACATTGCAAAGACCAGAGACAAATTTTATTCAACTTAGATGACTCTGAGGTCTTACAAACGGGTCTATCTACATGCCAACTTTATCTTATGTGTGTACATTTCTTTCAAATTGAGTTTTATTCATTTGTACTTTTCAATTTTAATTTATCCATTCCATAAAGCTCACATAATACAATAAAAAAAGACTGAGCAATCAATAATCAAAAACTCACCAGAGATTTATTCATCTTTTGTTGTTCTTGTAAACCCATGCACACTCTGGCAGCATAGCTGGGAGAAAAGAGAATGGAGTGGATTAACGAGAGAACTCTTGTGGCTTGGCTCCAGATTCTCCTTTCCAAAACTCTCTACTTATCAGCTGAAAAAGACAAACAAAAAGACTTCCTGTGAGAGAACAGTCCTTCACACCTCAATAAGGGGCAACAAGGACCCCACTAAAGATGCAGCTACAACTATAACACATTACACACACAATTTATTTTTGGGTTAATGAAAACATACATAACCTACTGACTTAGCACAAATCAATATTACCTAAACATATAACATAGTAAAATAAACCAAGGAAAAACACATGGTGACATCACTAGAATTAATGTTGTAGAAATAGTTTGGCTATATTAACTGTGACCCTATAAATATATTACGTTCACACATTACTCCAAAAAAGCGTTTCCATTACAACACATCTTCCTTTTGTGTAGCTAAATATCTGGACAGTGTGCATCTTGCAACCCAACACATTTTGTCCATGATTATACAAGTAAAAAAACATACATATTGTATATTTTTTTCTGCTACACTGATCTCCCTGTACCCAAGCCCTCATATAGTATGCTCTGACAATAAACTAGTCTTTGTCATATGACCTGCTCTGGACAGTGGCATGTTAGAAAATGTCATGCAAACATACATTTGCAAAGTAATGGCCATTGGAGCTTGCCTCTTAAACACGGTCATACTGTGAAGAAGCCTGGGGAGACACGGGGCCCAGCCAAGGGTCAGCACAAACCACAGGACATGTGAGTGAAGCCAACTTTAACCAAACAGCCTCAGTCAAGATACCAGGTGACTAAATCCATATTTATAATCCAGGGAACACTAGAATGAGAACTGCCCAGCTAAATGCACCCCAAGATGTGGATCCATAGAACTTCAGAAAAATAAGATGGTTGGGTTTTTTAAGCCATTGGGGTTTGCTTTGTTCCTCCCACAGCAAATGATGAATGATACATCTAAGGCCACAAAACTCAAAACATATTAAACAAAATTATGTGGGGGAGAAAGTCTTAAATAACAAGTCAATATACCTTCAGAACCACAGGTAGAAGTTTTGAAAATAACGATGAATGTTAACTACATGGACTTCAGTGAGATTTGTAGCCCTAATAGAGGCTATGTGAATCATAAAAAACAATTGTTTGTACATCAGTAAAGTATATCATAAGTTTTGTTTTATATTTTTTTTACATCACATACGAGTTGTTTACTTTAAAAACATACAACATAAAAAGGGTGCTGCTTATAAGTGAGTAATGCAGTGTACCAGGGTACTTTCAAAAATTCGGCGGAAAATAGAAATGAAACAGAATAGAAATCTTTCCATTAACTTTTTGAAGCACACTAGCATTTTAATTAATTTAAGAAATTGGTTTTGAGTAGAAAGGAAGTGCAGTCTGATTTTCACATTTTATTTTATTTTATTTTTATTTCTTTTTTTTAAGAAAGGGGATCTTAACCCTTGACTTGGTGTTGTCAGCACCACACTCTCCCAAGTGAGCTAACTGGCCATCCCTGCGTAGTGATCCAAACCCGTGGTCTTGGTGTTATCAGCACCACACTCTCCCAAGTGAGCCACGGGTCGGCCCCTAACTTTCACATTTTAAATAACATAAAATTGCCTCCAATATATTCCTGCAAAATTTATGATTTTGAAAAATAGGTTACTAACATGAAGTGGGAAATACATTATTTTCCCTTTGAGGTGACATAATCCAAAGAAAGTACTGGAGTTAAAAAAGAATAGGAATGTTTAAGGCAAGTATGTTACAGTAATGTTTGCTTTAAGTTGACTTCAGCATTACAAAAACGATCTCAAAAGTGAGCAAACACTTGTTTTGATTTAAATGTGGCAAAATGGAAAACTCTAGCCAAAAAGTCTCGATGTCTAACATCAACAAATCACATGACCCTGGGCCAGTCACATTTTCTCATAACCAATTATTTTCACTTTTCTTACAAGGCAGAGATATGGGGAAAACCACTCATGAATGACCAGAAAAGAACTATGAAGACAGAGAACCATCAATACATCTCTAGATGCCAAATTTGGTGACAGGCTGGGATTGAGAGAGCTCAGACACTGGGAACAATGAGGGAAGATTGAAGGAACGGGAGTGTGTTCAGAGAGCACTGCAGACAGATCCTCTCAGCTGGGACAAGTTATTCCTGCACCCCACAGAACACCTTCAAACCCTCTTCAATAAGTAACATTTCCTAGGTCCTTGCCTCTCCTTCTCAGTCTAATTCACCTCTCCCTTCTGACACTTGGCCCAAACCTTCCAATATCACCCAGTCTCAGAGAGCTATTGAACGAGGTATTATCAGCCAACTCTGGTGCGTTCTAAGCACTAGACACAATTATTGTTTAGGCTGTGCAAAGCTAGGATCTTCACCTTTCCGCGACTGAAGCAGTATACTGAAAGGGTTCCGGCCATAATGATGTTCTCCCAGGTGGGATTCCTACTCACAGGACGCCGTCGTTCCAAGTTTGTCACACCTCCTTCACTCCAAAGAAAATGGGATCAACATCCAGTGCCACAATCTCCTTCCTAAACGTTACTGTCCCTGGAAACAAGGTTGTACATAAACTGGTAAACTCTGACCAGGAGCGCTGGGCAGGCCGTACAGTGCAGGAGGGACCAGAAACTTGACCTCCTGAAGAGACACCAAGAAACCCCACAAACAAAACTGCTATAGAATAACATTCTGCACACACCTCACAATTATTTCTCTGGGAATTTGGGGCATTACACTAATATCAGCACACTCATGTTACCGATGGATAAAATGAATGTCCCATAGGTAGGTACCAGGTTCCTTAATGGCGGAGCTGGAATGTGACCTCCCGCACACCTCCCAGGTTCACTGTCTTCAGAGAGCCCCTAACCCGCTTTCCCGTGGCCACGTTGGACCTGAGCCCCCCTTCTGAGACATCTGGAACTGGCTTCTGCACACCCGGCAGCGCACGCCCGCCTTCAGGCAGCGCCGTCCTCAGATGGAGCCTCAGATGGAAAGCGCAGCCCGGGCGCCCCTTCCCCGGCCCAGCCCAGGTCTGTGTCCCGCCTGTCCGAGGCCCACGGAGCTTCTGTCCCGCCAAGTGCCGGGACACCCGTTCCGCTCCCCAGGGACCCTGAGGCCCTCGGGGCTCCTCTTTCACCGTCGCACTCACCTTCAGAATCGCAGAATCCAACCCCAGGATCTGATGAACACGGTAAAATCAGCAGCAGCATCCGGATCTTCCAAACCAAAGATGGCGGTGTGGGCGGAGCTGCACATGCGCAGAACATACCCGGGAAAGCCCTTCCTATAGTCCTGTGCAGGTGTTCTCATTGCAGGGCAAAACTACATTTCCCAGATGGCAGAGCTAGTGGAGCAGCACATGCGTAGAAGGAACTTAGAATGGCTGGTGGAATGGCTCCTGTGCTGGTGACGTCATAGGAGAACGAGACTACATTTCCCACAAGCCTGTGGGGGTCATCCTTTAGGGACGAAAAGAGAAAATTTTGTTTATTTTTTCAGCAGGGAGTCCTGTTACCAGGAGACCAGGACCGGATTGATCAAGACTCGTCTCTATCCACGTTATTGCGAGGTGTAATTCTGATCTTTATTAAATCCTGGTTGAGAACCTGGGACATTGTGAGAATAATGGGGAAATTTGATTGTAGCGCAATTACAGCATGATAATAATAAGTAATTTTACTTTTTTTAGTTGTCATACGTATTGCTATTCTAGAACCCTCGTTTATTTTTGCAGACGCATTTAAGAATATGAGAAAAATCATCCATCTATTTTCCTTTAAACGGTTAAGGTGGTGATGGTTATGGGGGATGGGGGGGTATTCGTATTCGAAAATGGTGGTGGAACAAACCTCACTATTTCTCAGGACTGTCTCCATTCACCTTCTCTTCCAGCTGTAATTCCAGACTCCTGTATGAGTCTTCAAGAGCAAAGAAAATGAACATATCTCTGGTAAGTTATTTATTGTATTTTAGAAGATTCCTGAGGTTTCATTAAGATGGATGAGTTATAATTGCTCACCGAAGATTATGAGTTACATTGCAGTTTCTGTTGGAGTTTGGATGTGTTGTCCCCTCCGAAACTCATGTGGAAATCTGATCCCCAATGTGGCAGTGTTGGAAACTGATTGAGTCATGGGGGCGGATTCCTCATGAATGGATTAATGCTCTCCCTGGGGGTGCATAACTTCGTATAGCATACATTATACGAAGTTATACGATGGATCCCTCATAAATGGATTAATGCTCTCCCTGGGGGAGGGGGGATTAATGAGTGAGTTCTCGCTCTATTAGTTCCCGCTCTATTAGTTCCCGCGAGAGCTCGTTGCTTAAAAGACCCTGGCACCTTCTCTCTGTCTCTCTTGCTTCCTCTCGCCATGTGAGCTCCCTGTACCCGCCGGCTCCCTGCCACTTTCCGCCATGAGTAGAAGCAGCCTGAGGCCCGAGCCAGACGCAGCTGTCCCAGAATCCTAAGCCAAATAAACCTCGTTCCTTTATAAATTTCCCAGTCTCAGGTATTCTGTTATAGCAACACAAAACGGACTAAAACAGATGGTGAAATAAAAAGAAACAAAATTCAGCATCAGAGAAATATACAAAAATGAGAAATTTGGCATGTTTATACAGGCAGGTTACGAGACCTTAGCGCCATCTAAGTTGAGTGCAAGTAGGTCTCTGGTGTTTCTGATACCATGGCAAAAGACACGTTGTTACATGCTTCCAATTGACCTTAAGAGGGCAACATGCTAAATTGTCATGAGATATGAAGTATGAAGCACAGTCTTTATTGGTCACATAGATGACAGCATGGACAGTGTTTCATGACCAACCTGGTAGTAAACACTCAGCGTTGTGCAGTGGTCGTGGCTACCTAGTGCTAAAGCACAAATCAGGCAGTAAGAGGTTTTTCTAGAATTACTGAGATAGTGTGGCTTCAGATAGACTTTGAAAGTCCCCACCTGATGCAGGGATACAAGCTGGGATGTGTGGAGCACAGAATCTACCGCAGGTTCTTACATAACTCTCCACACTTTTCTCTCAGCTGTTCCGTATATGTGGATTGTACCAGGCAGTGCAAAGTTATACTTTCTGATGGGTATGTTCATTGCTGATGTGAACTTTACCCTCCTCAATGTGACCTTAGTTCACGTCTTCAAAAGTTCACCAATAACTAAATTATCATCCAAAGGCTTATGTGCATTACCTTACATGAATCTTCTGCTGTATTTGAAACTACTATTCATGATTTTTCCATGGAAATTGTTCCCTGTTAGCTTTAGACATGACCTTGCTGATGGTTCCTCCCTTTATCCCCTGAATTCTGCTTTATTTTTCTTCTTAACACAGCTCCTCCACGTGTTCCATCCTGTTCTGCATTTGTCCCACTCTGAAGTTCCCCTTGACTAATGTGACTTTCTGTGCTTTGACTCTCCTACCTGCATCTCTCCAGCTTTCAGCTCTTCCCAGCCTTTACAACATACATTCAACTCAATGTTTAATGCTTCTTTGTATCTCTCCAAAAGCCACCTCAAGATGCAAAAATCCAAAATGAAACCACATTCTCCATTTTTTCCCCATAATCAGGGTTCTTCAAAAAGTTTAGGGAAAGATTTCTATTATCTTTTACTTCAATTTTCCTATGAACTTTTTGAAGTATGCTCGTATATGGTATTACTACCAACTAGTCTTGACTCAAACAACCAAAAGGGGATTTTCCTTGTCTCCTCCCTCTCTCTCAGCTCTAATCTCTGCTGTCGTGTCCTGCTATTTTTGTTTCTGTTTCTGAATTTTTATTCTAATGCCTACATGCAGTTGGTGCTCTAAAGCAGACACAGTAACTTTCTTTTTACATTGGAAATATCACTTTTGGCAAAACTTGAAGGGTGTGTTTGCTCAGTGATGAGGTTTGGTCCCTCCTGAGCTGTGCTACCAGCCAGCAGCTGTTGTGACAGTCATAGGAGTCAGTGGAAGAAACATGCAGGAGTTAGTGGGATACATTTGAACAAGAGTCAAGAGAAAGATACACAAAGAATAAAAACAGGGAGCACAGGTTTTAATCATTTGTACCTTTCGCTGATACATATTTCCCTGATTTTATCAATAGTTTGTACTAATAGAAAATTGTATGTTTCTAGCTCAAAAATGGCTTGCCATGTTTTCAAACACTTTTAAAGATTGTATTTAATTCTGTTGTTTCACCTAATCACTTAAAAATTAGTAGGCAAGTATAGATTTATGCATCAATCATATCTATGATTAGGTACTATTACAACTGTAGTTCATAGTTGGTTAAAAACTTTTTATTATGATAAAATATACATAACAAAATTTGACACTGTAATCATTTTTAAGATTATAGTTTAGTGGTATTGTTTATTCACATTAATTTGCAACCATCACCAACATCCATTCACAGAATTTTTTTCATTTTCCCCAAATTCTGTACTCATCACACACTAAATCCCTACTCCCCTCTACCCCAGGCCCTGGCAAGCAGGATTCTACTTTCTGTCTCTAAGAATTTGTCTACCATAGAAACCTCATGTAAGTGGAATCATACCATGTTTGTCCCCTTGTAATGGGCTTATTTAATGTAGCTTAATGTCTCAAGGTTCATCCATGTGGTAGCATTTGTCAGTTTTTTCTCTTTCTTTATAAAGCTCAATAGTATTCTATGATGTGGATCGACCATCTTTTGTGTATCCATTCATACACAGGTGGACACTTGGTGCTTCCTCCTTTTGCCCATTGTAGTGGATTGAATTATGTCCCCCAAAACTCACTGAAGCTTAATTGTATCCCCCAAGATTTATGTATTAGAAACTTAGTCCCCACTGTGACTGTTAAGAGGGTGGGAAATCCTATTATGGTAATTGAAAGGTGGAGCTTTAAAGAGGTGATTAAATTGTAGAACCATGCCATAGTGAATGGATTTAAAATGGTGGTCAGGGGCATGGTTCTAAGAGCTTTAAAAGAAGAGGAGACTGTCTTTCTCTCTCTGCTCACTGTGCTTCCACCATCTTTCAATGTGAGACCCCTAGTCACTGTTGCCACCACTAGATGGACTTTGGACATCACAGCCTCAGAAACTGTAAGCGATAAATTTCACTTTCTTTGTAAATCACCCAGTTTCAGGTATTTTGTTATAAGCAACAAAGATGGACTAATATAGCCATTGTGAATAATGCTGCTGTGAACATGTAGCTGCTAAGGTGTGTTTTAGTCTCTGCTTTTACTTGATCTTTTTATTATTAAAGTTTGTGGTTTTTTATGTTTTTATTTTCAGTCAATGTCTTTGTATTTAAACTGTATCTCTGGATAGCATACTGTTGAATCTTTTTTTTTTTTTAAATGAAGTCTGACAGTCTCTGCCTTCACATAAATATTTGCCCAATTGGTGTTATTAATATGACTGGATTTATAATGTGCATATAAGCCCATGCTCAGATTTCACTGGTGAATTCTACCAAACATTTGGAGAAGATTTATGATCAATTCTTTCCAAACTCTCCAATTCACTTTCCTGTTTTTTATGGGGCCAGTATTACTGTGATAACAAAATCATACAAAGACATCACAAGAAAAGAAATATTTTCATGAACATAGCTCATGAATATAGATGCAAAAATCTTCAACAAAACTTAAGCAAACAGAATCCATCCTCTATGACTAAGTAGGATTTATTCCAGGAATACAAGGTTTGTTAACAGCCCAAAATCATTTAATATAACACAGCATATCAATATGATAATTAGCAAAACCACATGATCATCTTAATAGATGCAGAAAAATTGTTTGCAAGGGGCCGGCCCGGTGGCGCACTGGAGAGTGCGCTGCTTGGGAGTGCGGTGGCGCTCCCGCCGAGGGTTCAGATCCCATGTGGAGACCGGTTCCCGCTCACTGGCTGAGCGTGGTGCGGGCGCAACACCGAGGGTTGCGATCCCATTGCCAGTCCCCGGTACGGGCGCGACACTGAGGGTTGCAATCCCGTTACCGGTCAGTAAAAAAGACAAAAAAAGGGAAAAAAAAAAAAAAGAATAATGTTTGGGGCCGGCCTGGTGGCGCACTGGAAAGTGCGCCACTTGGGAGTGCGGCGGCGCTCCCGCCGAGGGTTCGGATCCCATGTGGAGACCGGTTCCCGCTCACTGGCTGAGAGCAGTGCGGGCGCAACACCGAGGGTTGCGATTCCGTTGCCGGTCCCCGGTGCAGGCGTGACACTGAGGGTTGTGATC